AATATCAATAAGTTTATTATTATTATTATTATTATTATTATGAATTGTACATGAGGTTAAACTGTCATCTTATTATAAAGAACACAAACACACAGACAAACACACATTTGCATATATATGGAAAACACAATCTAATCTAAATAACCATTTTATACTTCAATTCCAATTTGAAATCCATACTTGAAATGAATAAAATATACATGTGCATGCATCATCATGAGGTCATGTGACAACAAAGTGCTGTAATAGTACTGTTTACAACTATTAATGAAACTACTAAGTCCATAAAGTGTACTGTTTCATTAAAACAAAAAAGGCAGTAACATAGTTATGATGTGTGTAGGTAATGTTTGTGTAAGTATACAGCTGTCTGTTTTGCATATACACAGTATGAGCCGACAGCCTCCTTTAAACACACACACACACACACACACACACACACACACACACGTGCATGAGACCTCACTAATCTCCAATTTGAAGCAGTTTAGTTCACGTGTCAAATGAGTATAACTTGGTGACATGACAGGTCTAAATGGTGGAAAAATACCACTGATAAATGGTCAGCCACAAAGGTGGATACTCACACACACACTGCTCAGTGCAGCACAGTAGCGTCACACCAATGTCGTTGGCCCAGGTGTCAGGTGCTGCGCTGGGCTGTCAGTCACTCACTGTGTCTCTCTGACATTGTTGACAGACAGACAGACAGGCCGCTGTATCTCAGAATGAGTGAAAGTGTCAGGCCAATCGGTGAGCAGAATAGTCATTGTGTCACTTCTGCTCTGACTCTCACCTGTTTTGGCCCAGTGCTTAATTTGCCTGGAGACCTGCAACACAGAAAGCCAGCGGTGACCACAGCACGCAACACAATGTCAAATGGACACATAAATTAAAAAATAATAATTAATGAATCATTTATGTATGTATGCAGGGGCGGACTTAGTGATTTGGGGGCCCTAAGCAAATTTCAGGTATGGGGCCCCAACACAATAACTATATGCTCTTTTACACCTAACCCTTATTTTGCTCGCTCGCTCTCTCTCATAGCTTATAGCTATAACTATTATTTATTATAACTATTACCCCTTCACAACTTAAGTAAATAATTAGTCAACCTGATGCTGTTCTAAAGCCATATTAAGCTACCTTATTTTTTTCTGGATCACAAAAGAAGACATTATTAAAAAAAAAAAATGCTTGCACTTGTCCATTTAATGAATTGTAAACTTCTTCAATCTTTTAACAAATAGGACTCAAATGTCATAAACATTATCCCATGCAACTCGTTCCGTATTCCAAGTATTCTTAAGGCATAAGGTCGGGTTTACCGAGAAACAAATCAAAAATGTAATCTGTTGAAAATCTCCAGTCATTGCATTCGTGCATTCATATGAGTGTGCGGCAGTTCGCGCCGGCGCGCCTAGGAAAAGCACACAAGAGAGTCATTTTGAAACATTAAGACAAATAAAATTATGACTTCTGAGGCAGTCAAAACAGCTTAGAATGCACGCAAAGAGCGCTCTGTCTATAATCACTAAAAGCTGTCACTCACTTCATTTCATTGCGATCTCACAATGTTCCATTAATAAGCTTTCTACACTGCACAATGAATCTTTTATTTACATCATATACATTGTTATAATGAGAGGATTCGCGAGCTTGCAGAACTCCGCACATGAGAAAAACTCGCCGTTTTGTGCGGTGGGTGAACATTTGACGCTCTAACACAAATACATACTGGTGGATTTGCCAAATATGTTTCGCCAATATCAGATGGGGCCCCCTGATTCCCCGGGGCCCTAAGCGGCCGCTTACCTCGCCTATTGGTTAAGTCTGCCCCTGCATGTATGTATGTATTTATTTGCCTTGTTTTCCAGTGAAATTTTACAATTTTAATTTTAATTTAAGAAATTTAATTTAATTAAATTTAAGAAAATTTAACTTTATCAATGAGAGGAAATACAAAAACAATTGTTGGTGTATAAAAAACTTGTAATTTTGCATCATGAGTGTCACATTTAAGACACCGACATAATTACATAAGTATATCTGTCTGTCACATTGTTTATATAATTAACTGTAGTTTAAGTTTAAATTGACCGCCTATATATATATATATATATTGTCACGGGGTGAAGAGTCACACTATCCCCTTGTCCAAATACCCACACTTGCGGTCTTGGCCACTTGAGAGCGCGTGCACGCGACAGGAAGTAAGTGCGCAAGACTGTCCCAGGTCTTAAAAACGCCAGAGCGCAGCACCCTTAACACACACTAAATCCACACTATCTCGAATACCGCTAAGGAGCGCTATTCGAGGGTTAGTGTGTCCCATCATGCATCATGTTCTGGAAATAAATCATGAGACTTTTACACACACTTCCAACACACATTTCAGTTCAAACAACTTGTAAAGTGACTTTTGCATCCGATGACCCCTTTAAGATTTTAGCCATTACTTGAAAATAAAGATACTTCATGTGATTAGTCAGCGCTATTGTAAATTAAAATTTTACTTTTCTGGCTGAATCATGATCTGGAGGAGAAGAAGTGGAAGGATTTTATTTCTTGTGATCAATCCTGGAAAAATTTGGGCACTTTTATTGAATAAGTTCCAATGCAGAGACTGCAGGCAGCTCTTTGCAATGCGCTAATGGGTGCTGATGAGCATTTTGATGGGCAAATACTGATGGGCTGATTCTTATATGCTGGTGCTCATGGATGGATGCCAATGGATGAGTACTAATGGGTATCTTCTGATAGGCTGGTACTATTGGGTGGGTTCTGACGTGTGTGTTTGTGTGTGTGTGCGCGTTGATCTGCAGGTGCTCTGATTAAGCAGCAATAGATTCCTGAGACTTTAGAGCTCTACTTCATTTAAAATTAAAACGACTGCCACATTCACCCCTTCTGTGAATCAAAAGGGCAAAAGCAGCCACTTCTAAGCTGTCAGAGAGGAAGATGGATGAGCAGTCTGTTGGTCCACTGCACTACAGAGAGGAGCGTTACTGTGAGACATGTGAGTTCACATGATGTTTCAACTCACTTAACTTCACAAACAAATCCTGTACATTTTAAAATGCCAGATAACCACCACATTTCAGTGAATTCGACATGATTCTGAGGTGTTTTAAGAGTATTTTAAAAAAAGATGTAATGACGTAATCGGTGAAACATCAGAGTCTCTGCTAAAAAGCTTTCGCCGGGGTCGCATCCTCCCCCTTGTTTGAACAAACTGATACAAAGTCATTAGAAATGCACATTACACGACAACTACTGCATATTAACAACACTCAGGAGCCAATAAATCATTATGGCATCAATATCTAATTAACATAAAATTATTCTCTTTTTAAAAGTCCATGTTGGAGGTGACAGGGTTACCTCATCGATAATGCAAATGATCCATTAGCTAGACTAGTCCAGACAGAGCTCACAAAAAAAGACTGCTTTCAAGCACACGTTTTGAGCGCAGAGATGCCAGTAACTTCTTGCACTAAAATGATCTTACAATGATTTTTTATTACTTACGTTTCAAATGAATAAAATGAAATAAAATTAATATTACATAACGCGATTCAAAACCATCTTAATTTTAAAGAGAGATCAAAAAAATGATAATTTTTCATGAGTAAGTTGTTAGCTGTGCTTTAAATGTTATAAAACTTACAATTGTTAATAACAACCCCTAGTGCTAATGTGGTATGAGAGGTTTCCTAGAGCCTCATACTGGCATGAGTGAGTTACTGCATCACCTTACCCCAACATTCCCTCATTTTATCACACCGCCGCCCATCATCTCGGTTTGCTCTGGAGTCTGAGCGACAGGCAAGATCGCAGCTTAATATCAAACATGAAAAGGGTTTCCCAAGTTCAAGACTCCTCATTGATTAGACCTTCCTCTCCCTCTCTCCCCTCTCCTCATATCATCTTCAGTTCTGCCGGCCGATCCAGTCCCTGCAGAAAACTCTTTTTATATCAGTTTTG